ATATATATATATATATATATATATTTGCAACTCTTTTGCCTTACAAAGGTGCTGGATTAATGTAGCTGTTTCAGAGTGTTTTAAATTGCGTGTAGTAAAATCTATGAGAAAGAAATAGCTTGATGGAAATAACCGGAAAAAAAATAGTATCCTCTCTCCTGCAGCAGAGTCACTGTCTTCCTAAGCTGTTACTGTCATGCTAGAAACCGCTGCACTCAATAGTCTCTCTATCTTTTTCATCACCTGGTTTGGAATAAGACCTGGTCTAACTCTGCCTCTCTCCCTCCCTAGCTGTGCCTCTGGCAGCCGTAGGGTTTGGCACGGATCCTGACCTGCAAGTGGATCTCATCGCAGACCTGGATCTTGTCAATGTGACACCTGGGGTGACACAAGTGCTGGGGCTGCACAATGCCAGCAGGGCGTTCCTCTTCCAAGGTAAAGCACGAGTCCGCGAGCTGCCTCTTGCCTAATTCTGCCCGTGTCAGTCTGTGAGAAATTTGATGCCTACCTGAGCCCCCGTAGGAATGTTCTCAATTTATTTTTTATTTTATTTTATTTTTTCTTCAAAATAGTCTGTATCATGCTGCTGAAATATATATGGTATTTCTTTTGTATGCTGTCAGGTCACCGAGTGTAAGAATCTCTCGGAAAGTGTTTCTGGTTTCAGTGCTCCCCGAGATCTTTTTGGACTAAATGTGCCAAAATGGTCCCACAGCAGTTTATCCTTGAACGTTTTTCCCTCTGCCCTTGTATGTGTGTGCATGGGCCTACAGTTGTGTAGGTAGGTGAGAAAGTAGCTTGTGTGTTGATGCTGCTTGGTTAAGATTAGCAAACCTATTAAAGCACAATAAGCAATGTTTTTATTGTGTAGGCTCCCTATTTTTTCATTAGCTTTGCTTTTACTGTGCCTTAAATTGCATCGTTTGGGGTCGTATTTAGTATCTGTAGCTGCTCTTGGAGGCAGAATATGATCTCATTTAGTTTTATATCTGCCTTACTGTTATTGTAAGTGATGAAAGAAGCAGGTGTGTGACCTTGGTTTAGTTTTCACGTGGACAAGAGGATGGATCCGTTCAGGTCCTGGTAGCACAGGGACTTTTGGAGTCCACCTCAGGATTTGTTAGTTGCTTTTCCCATCTCTTGCGCTGTTAAGTGTTCAGTTTTTACTGATTCCTAGATCAGCCTCCAAAAGAAAAGCATTAAGGTAAAATATAAAATTATAAATTGTTTTGCTTTTAATACTCCTGACTTAATGCTTATGTGTTAGACACAAATACTACTGAAGTGCAGTCATTCTGCTGAAGACTGAAATGCCCTAATTGACTTTGTGGGGACTTTGTCATCTCCCTTGCTGAGTGGGGGTTGCATTTGTAGTCCTTAAGGCCATGAAATGCATCTCTGAGCCTGCACCCAGGGGATCACCCTGCCTTGTAAGGTGCATTTCCCAAAAAGCCTTTAGGAAGGCTGCTCAAAGTGCGGGTGTTCTTATGCGTATCACTGGAAGTCTTTGAAGTATGGATCTGACCTGCATTGCCTCTCCTCTAGCCAGAGGCTGGAAAAGTCAAGGACCCGGTTCAGGGAGTCAGTGGGAAATCTACTTCAAAGAAGTGTGTAGAAAACTTTAAGCATGCAAGCAAGGCGTTGCAGCAATGTCTACGAACACTGTCTATGAAAGGCTTTTGCAAGCTGTCTCTTTTAAACTTGATGAAACAATGCCAAAATTCTTGTGATAGGGTCACAATAAATTTTAAGGTGTTAAAAACAACTGAGCAGTGGCCAGCAGTGTAAGGCTAAGTCTTATGATCAGCCCTAGGTAGCTGGGAAGACTGGTTTGTATTAACCTTGGAGATGGACACCTTGGCAGATATTGGGTTGAGTGGTAGAGAAAGGTTGTGGCTGCGACTAAGGTAGGTGCTGTGTTTGTCATCTTCCTAGGTAGACTAAGTCCATGAAGACTTTGCTGTTTCCCTTCCTGGCAATTGGAGTGTCTGTACATGCCTATACATGTAAGGAAGGGGATGGGCAATGACTTGGAAAACTTGCAACCCCCACCGCAGAAGCAGTGCTGCATTACTTGGGGGAGATCATGTTTGGTGTTAGGGCTAGGGCGTCAGTCCCTTTTGATCCAAGCTAATGCAACAGGAGATATTGCTTGCTCTGTCCTTTGAAGTTCATAGCAAATGTTAAGTATAAACAGTGTTGTTTTACAGCGCAGAAACCTTACAGAAGTAGAAAAAATACAAGGATACACCGTGGCTAGCTCAAAATTTGTCCTGTCAAAGCAGAGCCGCTCTCTTGCCTTCTCCGTGTGCAATAATCTGAGATCTCCCTGTGTTGTCGGGCTGCTGCAAGCTGGGGTTGTGGGATGAGATTGGGGCTTGCTGGTGGTAGGGATGGTATTGGGGCAGGACAGCAGTGGAAAAACCTTTGGAAGGCCCGTTTGGGCTGTGCCATGATGTGGCCTGTGATATATGCTAATTTAACAGGTGTGCTGGGAGGATATAACTTGGGTAATGTGATTTTTATTAGTGGCTTTAAACCTTAACATTGCCATCCACGGGTTGCTGACCTGCAAAGCTGATGTGCTATACCCTTTTCCCTAATAACAGTAGTGTGAAAATAACTCGTTAATATCTGTAGTAGTCTCAGATATTGTGATAGAATAATTAAGTTGGTCATGGTCTGTTTTATCTTTGGAGAAGGATTTGACTATTGTAGATATTCAGGGTATGCCTCAAGGCATAAAAATAACATGCCAAGCACTTGTTTGCTAAGTAAATATTGATTGATCTTTGCTTTTTACTTTGTGTACTGAACGAGACATGGGCCCTCTGGAAAATGGCATGCTTGATCCTGTAATTAAGCATGATATTGGGACGCATGTCCCAAGAGGGCTGAGCCTGTAAGGCTCCAGCCCTGATGTTTGTCAATTCTCCTGTTTGTTTTTGTTGTTTTAATATAACTAGATTGTAATCTATTTTGTGCACATGATTTTAGCATTTGTATGGCAATGAAAAAGTTACGTTTTTTTTCCCTCCTTGTTCTGCAAAACCGACCCTTTTCAGAAGGCAGAAATGATCTGGCATCAGAATAGGAGGAGCTGCATAAGGTGAATCCTCTTCAAATGGAGGAAATTAAGCATTGTATGAAATATATCCAATAGGCAGTGCTCTGTACTTCTGAAGTGATGAGTGAAATGATCTGGCATCAGAATAGGAGGATCCTATTCAAATGGGGGAAATTAAGCATTGTATGAAATGTATCCAATAAGCAGTGCTCTGGACTTCTGAAGTGATGAGCTCCTGGTAGCTTTTTCAGTGCCCAGGAGTAGTTTTTAAATGTTTGCATACATATCTCCAGCCTTAGTGATGTTTAGGCTTGGAGCTACACTAGAGCCTGGTCTAGGAATAACATTAACCCAACATAGCAATAAGGAGATACAACTTATGTGTATAATCTGGAATAGCAGTGGAAACCTAGCTGCACTAAACCACAGGGAACCATTTCTACTTTTATTTTTTCTCCCAGTCCTGAATGTCGTTATGCTTCCCTCTGTGACTTGATGTTTTTGGGGATTTCCCATTGCATTGGTAGCAATTGGGAAAGTATTCTGTGCACGCATTGCCTCTGTCCTCAGCAGTTATTTTTTGCTTTCTCGGGAGACAGTAATTGTGCTGCTTGTCTGTCTTCATTGCCAGGGTTTGTACGTGCAAGGGGGCAGTGGGAGAAACGCTTTGGCAGTTCTGTAGTATGCTCAAAGTCTCGTAACGAGGACAAATAAGGACAAACTTCCTTACCATGAATGCAGATTGGTTTGGGTAAAATAAACTCAGTCCATTCTTATCCTCACTGGAACAAAAAAGCAGCTAAAAGTCCTTTTCTTGGAAAGGATGTTGACAAACTGATACACCCTGAGAATTGTGTTCAGTGGCATTTGGTCAGGTTTTGTTAACAATTTTTAATGTGTTGATATCTACTTGATAGGAATATTTGTGTGTCTTGCTTGACCTCTAGCTAGGTGCTATGCTTTTAACCTAAGACAAACAGAAATTCTTGTCTGCATTTAAAAACACAGGGTGATGCTTAATTGTTTTTAAAGGGTTCTCCTCTTTAAGAGGAACACAATAACAGGCATAAGGAGACCTAATGCAGGAGCCAGGCCTGGACTGCTTCCTGTGGTCCCTGCTGTCATGAATGGTCTAGCAGTGATAAAAATCAGATGCTACTCGAGGCCTCAAACTCGAGATTAATCTCACCACATGCAGTGAGGTGAGATAAATGGCATGAGGAGGACATATTTTTTTTCTCTTATTATTCACTTTGGCCACATAAATGGTGTGAAGGCATCGTGTCATGCTGTGTTGGTTGGTGGTGTTATGTTGCGTGGTTGCCTTGCCTTTTGTGGACTATTTGGTGAGACAAAATGCACTACCTTAGACTTATTTTTATAAAAAAGGACAAAAAAGTGTTTTTGGTTCCTGCTGTCTACTAAAACATCTATCTAAATTCAGTAGTTATGGAGGTTGGATACCCGCTAAAAGGGCAAAGCGGATTCTATAACTCCAATGACTGAGGGTGCTCCAAATTGCTATTTTGAGACAATAAAATCCCTTGCTGAACCCTTGTGTTTTGGCTCCCTGAAAATTATGTTATATTCTTTTACCCTTCTTCTCTCTGTGTGTGATAATGGGTTTCTTCTATGGCTGCAGCTGAGTTTCCTATTGGTGTCCTCTGCTATAAATAGAAGAATAGCAAATGGGGGAAAAAAAAAAAACAGTATAGGATCACAACAGGTACACAGATGACTTTTCTGAGCTGGTGCTTCCCTTTGAAGCCATGGAGCTTTGAGCTTTACTGGTTGCCTTGATGGGAACAAATGCCTCCTGCTGTAGAAGAGTTGGGGTTATTAAGGTTAGTGGTGTTGCTTGCTTTCTTCCTTTTTTTTTTTTCCCCCTCTTCCTTCCACGGTCAACTGGAAGGTAGCAAAGATGCTGTTAGCGTATAGTGAATGCCAAGCTGCGTGCTGGGTGTTTAGTAGCTGTGGGCGTCTGCTGCAAGCCAGTGTTTGCCAGCAGCATTGAGCTCTGGCTCCTGCTCCCCATGTCACATAAAAGCTGAAAGGAGCGTTGGATCCTGTTGGGAGCCAGGGAAGGGAACCTCATGCCAGGATGCCCAGGAGTGGAGAGCATGCCTTGGTCTGCAGAGGTCCCTGCAGGTGCTGGCAGTGCAGTGTGGCCTCACAGTGTGATGTTGGAGGAGTAATGTGACGGATGCCAGAGGTTTGGAGACCTGGTGTGTTGCGCTTTCTCGAGGCTCCCTTTTGAGGGAGTCTGAGCCCACTGAATCCAACTCGGCGGCCATAATCTCCATAGGAAAAAGGGGGAAGTTGTTTGGGCTTTAATCAGTTAGTCATGATGCCAGAACAAAATTGAGGT